ATCGCCAACACCAAAATATTTGAACATGGGCCTTGATGAAAATTCGCTCTTTTTTCTGATTCACTCTTCAGATTTTAACAGAGCCTTTAACACCCAGTATTCATAGTATTTCAAAACTCTAACGTGTTTTAGTTTCATTCTTGATTTTTTTCATTATTACTTAGAAAACATAGTATGCCAGTTTCAAACATATGAATATAATATTTTGAATTTTCTGTCTTTTATATCTTAAATGCATTTTTGTGGTTTTGACATTAATATGCCTACTTTTATAACTAACTCAATGTCTTCAATCTCTTTAAATTTTGCTTTCAAAAGTCACTGCCATCCTGTATCTAAAATGTCATAGTTTTTTCTGTCTCATGGTTTAAGATATTTTCAATTGCTTCTACACATTTTTTGAAAATTAAAGAAAGTCATTTATAGCAAAATGCATCTATTTATTATATCCAGCATTAATACCTTCTTTGCCATTTTGTGCTGTTACATAATGACATAGTGATGGGGTTATTTTCATAACTGATATTATATACCCTAAAGGCCACAGAGCTTCTCTTATGGCTCCAAAGATATTCTTGCTACCTGTTATTCTGGTCTATTAGGCATTGTAATTATGTAATTAGATGTTCTTTAAAGACTATCTTAGGTACCTCATAGATTAGAATGGTTCCTCTGAAGCAGTTACCAGATCTGTTATGTAATTACATAATTAAGTCCATGTAGTAAAAATCTTAACAAAACTCTTTAAAAAAAAATAAACAGCCTGCACTGGGGCAAGAGATGACTTTGATTGCAAATTAGAAGTAGAACAAAATTGGCAATATATTCAGTGTCAAGAACAAAGGTGTCTCAACACTAATTTTGATATTGGGATTGCATCTCTCAAGGAAAGCTCCAGGGAGCTGGATCTGGCTCCTCAATCATCCAGAAGCTTGGCCTACATATGGTTTTATTAGTGCTACTGCAAGAGAGTTTCCTCTTCGTAAACTTCATATTCTACCTTCCTCAGAGACACTCATAAAATCAATATGGTTTGGAAGCCAACAAAGAAGATAAAAGATGACTAAGACACTAAATAAAATGAAAGCTCTTTATATTGTCATTTTATGTATTTTTAAGTCAATTAAATTTTGCCACATCCTATGTAGCCCAAACTTAACTACCAATTACATATGGTGGATTTGCAGAGTAGAATTCAAGCAAATTAAATGATAAAATCTGGAGTTAGTATGTACCCCAAAACTCACAAAGATAATACTTTTAAAAAATCTATAGGCACTAAAATACAAAGGCATCATGTTACTAAGCACCAAACTATGAAATTTGCAATGTGAAAGTTGGCCCTTCTTCTAATACTTTGTATGACAGAAAGAAAAATCTATCAATCTACCAAGAGAGAGACACTTCCAGGCAAAAAGTCTTTAGCCACTCATTTTCCCTTTGTCAGAACATCTTTTCTCTTACACCTGCAAATCCCCAAGTCACCCCAGCCCTTGACATGTATGCTACACTCAGCTGACTCTCAGTGGCCACATTATCAGGCTTCTTTCAATTCTCTTTACCACCAACCCCATGTAAAACCTATGTCTGTATATTTCTCAATTAATATTGCTTTTCCACTCCCCTCATCAATTAATTTGGAATGCTATCTTCTATCTTTCTATTTTGGTAAAAGCTATCATTATTAACTCCAATGTTTACTTCCTGCTAATTTTCAAAGAAGAAATATTTCAAACCAAAGAACTGTGCTTCCTCTGTATTAATTCATTGTGCTGGTTTTCTATCACTGCATAACAAACCATCCTAAAACTTAGTGGCTTAAGCAACAATTTATTGTTACCTCCCACAGGTCTGTGAGTTGACTGGGCTCACTGGGTACTTATTGCTTCTGATCTTTCACATGGTCATAGTTAGATAGTGTCTAGGACTGGAGTTATCCAAAGATATGACTAGACTGGAGTGTCCTGTCCAACATGGCTTCTACGCTCACATCTCTTTCTGTTTATTTTATTTATTTTATTTTTGAGACAGAGTGTCACTGTGTCACCCAGACTGGAGTACAGTGGCGCAATCTACGCTTACTGCAACCTCTTCCTCCTATGTTCAAGCGATTCTCCTGTCTCAGCCTCCTGAGTAGCTGGGATTACAGGTACCCACTACCATGCCCAGCTAATTTTTGTATTTTTAGTAGAGAAGGGGTTTCACCATGTTTGCCAGGCTGGCCTTGAACTCCTGGTTTCAAGTGATCCACTCGCCTCAGCCTCCCAAAGTGCTGGGATTACAGGTGTGAGCCATGGCACCCAGCCTACACTCCCATTTCGGGGGCCTCAGCTGGAGGAGTTGGACAAATTGGGAGCTGACATCTCCCTCCACATGACTTCCCTACATAACTGTCTTGAGATCTCTCAGTGCATGGCAATTGCAGAGTAACAACTAACTCCTCACCAGAATGCATACACACTCCAAGAGATCATGGTGAAAGCTGCCAGTCTTCTCATGCCTAGCCTCAAAAGGCATGCAATGTGGCATCACTTCCATCACATTCCAGGAGTTACACAGGGAGAGGCTACAAAAGTGTGGAAGGGTCAGGAGATGTGGCTCCTCAGAGGATTGTATTTGAATAAATGCAGGGGCCACACTCATCTAATATGTTATCTAACTCATCAAACATATGACAAAGCAGGGTGTATGAGCTGGGAAATATGATACAGCAAGGTATAAGGTAGTGATGACATCATTGAAGTTGCTATTATAAACATTTTTAATGTGACTGAGCAACTTCCAGTTTGGTTGAGCCTACAGAGTACTCCAGCCCCATTATGTTGAAGCTAATCAATTTAGACTCCAACCCCACAGTACTCAAATAAATTCCAGATGAGTTCAAGTTCCTTAAAAAATATCTACACCACCACAACTCTCCAGCAATCAAAGAATGAGATATCAATTGGTCTATCAAATAATATAGATACACACACACACACACACACACACACACACACACACACAGCTGGCAAGACTATGGTGAAACAATCCTATTCATATTAGGCTGATGGAAATATAAATAACCACAACCTCTTTAGGAAGAAATTGACAATATATTCATCTTGCTCGACTCAGACATTCTGTTTTTGGAATTAAGATAATTCAGAAAATAAGCTGAACTACAGAAAAATCTTTTCATACCAAGATATTTATTCCAAGATTATGTATAGAGGTAAAAAAAAACTATAAGCAACATAAATATCCAAAGATAGATAACCAAATAATACTAGGTACAAAAGATACTATTGTATGCAGTCATGTAAAATTATATTCCTGAATATTTTATAATGATAGGAGAAAGTTAAGAGTTAACATTTATTGAGCATCTGCTATACGTCAGGTATACATAATATGTGATTGCTTAACATACTTACTCATTGGATTTTTCTAACAGCTCGCTGAAGTGCATATAATTGTTATACTCATATCTGGGGAGAGAAAAGAGATTTAAAGAAACTGAATCACATTCCCAAGTTTGCAAAGATGGGGAACTCAGGATTTGAACCCACACACTGCCTTCACATTTATACATTCATGACCATTTTGCTATATCACTTCTGATGAATAGCACTAAGTAAAAACAAACAGCCAATACACGCGCATGTGCACACACATACACACACCATTTTAGAAAGAATGCAAGTGCAACTATTTTATAAAATAAAATATACAGAAAACAATCAGATTAGAAGGATATAAACTAAAATACTCATAATAATTGCCTTTAGGTAACGGTACTCTGGGTCATTTTCCCCTTCTCCTTTACATGTTTTTAAGACGTTCTAAAATAAAGAAGTTTTTTTCAGTCCTGTAGGGAAAAGAGAATTATTTTTCAATCCTGAGCAGCTGTTTCTTTTTGTGCAGATAAGAAGGCCAGCTAAGTGCATATCTATCACAAATAACCTGGGGATGTGACATCTTCACATGAGCTAGTAAGGTTGCGGCTAAGAAAGGAACCTTGAAGATGTCCTCAAGAGTTAGAAAGACAAATAACACTTTTCACATAAGCAGTGAGCAGGAAAATCATTCTTTCCAAAAGGAAGATGGTTTACATAAAGGCATCTGGCAGAAAAAAAAGACTCCAGGAACTTTGCCAATGGTTACAGTGCAAAGGGAGTCCCAGAACTCCGCGAGTCCGACTGAGTCGGATTTACTAATGCCCGGAGAGAACCAAGGCAGCAGAAGCTTTTCGGGTCTCAGTTGCAGATTACAAACAAGGTATGTAACCAGCCCTAGGTTTCTTTGCAATTGTGATTGCTTGATTGACTGATTCACATTTACCCTATGCTATACATAATTTTCAACGATGTAATTGATTAAAATATTAATGTTCACCACTTTAATAAAAACTTACTGTCTAAGAAAAGGCATATTGAGTAGAAAGCAGGCAAGTCTTTGTTTTCTCACTGAGTAAATCTGACCTTTTTAGTCCCCCAGACCCCAGCCTTGTGGCCCTTTATCTGAATCTGAAGGTAACTAGGAAGAAATAAATAGGTCGGTGGATATTAGCCTGACAAACCCAAATCTTTGCTGGCAGCAAATGTCACAGAGCTGTAAGTGGCAATGAAGTGAGAGCTTCCCTGCATGATGCTTCCCTGTACTTGCCCAGCTTCCTTGTTTGGTGATTACAAGTGGGCAACACCCAGAGAACAGGGTAACTAGATGATAAATCAGCAAGAGCTCATCCCAACTGTTAGATTTTCTCTTCCTTTTCAAATGATTTTTCTTTTTGTTTTTGTTTGAGACAGGGTCTTGCTCTGTTGCCCAGGCTAGAGTACAGTGGCGTGATCACAGCTCACTGCAGCCTTGACCTCCTGGGTTCAAGGGATCTTCCCACCTCAGCTTCCCGAATAGCTAGGATTACAGGTTCACACCACCATGCTCAGCTAATTTTTGTATTTTTTGTAGAGATGGGGTTTCACCATGTTACCCAGATTGATCTCAAACTCCTGGGCTCAAGCAATCTGCCCACCTCAGATTCCCAAAGGGCTAGGATTACAGGTGTGAGCCACTGCACCTGGCCCAAATAATTTTTTGAAACATCAACTAGAAGAAAACTATAGCCTTGTAGCAATTCAGTAATGTACTCAATTCTAAGGTAAACTAACATAAAATGAACTTCACATAAAGTTTATTTAATTGATTAATAATGATGAAAATGCAAGAAATTATATTCATATTCAGCAACGGAACACAAAACACTGTGGTCCTCGTGGCTCGTACCTTTACTTTTAGGCTTTTTCTTCTATGAATTGCTATTTAAATTGAATTTCACTTGGTTCCTTTAACAAGGAGGGAAGGAAAATTGTTCATCCATATGAAAATATGGTATAGACTATGGTGTTCTGTAGCATGGTACACATTCACAACGTTATAGATCCAGCTTAACATGCCTTCTGCACTGGCTTCTCACACAATAAACAAAGCTTGGAAGTTTTATGAAATGGACACATCCTAGAAAGTTGGAAAGCTTAATCAATCCCTATAAAATAACATTCTGCCTGGATGTGGTGGCTCACGCCTATAATCTCAACAATTTGGGAGGCTGAGCTGGGAGGACCACTTGAGCCCAGGAGTTTGAGACCAGCCTGGGCAACATAGAGAAACCCAGCCTCTACAAAAATTTCAAAACTTAGCCAGGCCTGTAGTCCCAGCTACTCAGGGGGCTGAGGTGGGAGGACCACTTGGGCTCAGGAGGTCAAGACTGCAGTGAGCTATGGTTGTACCACTGCAGTTCACCCTAGGTGGACAGAACAAGACTGTGTCTCAAAAAATAAAAAATAATAACAACATTTTAACTGTAATAATTGCTTGCAACTTACGCTTTATTTTACATAAATGTTTGATTCAAGGCCCTGTCTCAAAATAATGATAACATTCTAACTGTACTGATTGCTTACAATTTACACTTTATTTTATACAAATGTTTGATTTTAAATATAACCCCCGAGTTGGGTTCTAGTGTAACAGACTCGGTGCATCAGGAATCCAGACATTGCTGGTAATAATTTCCCAGGCATGTTCCTTTAGTATCTCTGGGGCTGGTGCCAAAACCAAATTAACACTGAGCAACCTGAACTTTAGAGAGGAATCTTAGACACCAATAAAATCTGCCTTAAAATGGCACTGTTGCTTTTCTGAGCTAAGGAAGCTTGATTATTATTGCTTTTCTCAGAGTTTTCAGCATGCTTGTTATTGATCTTAGTAAATTTCAGCAAGTATCTTCATCCCCGGAAGATGAGTTTCTCCCCTAGTCCCTTGTTCATCATCTATTTCAAGCCCTTCCCCTCCTCTCCAACAATGTCTACCCACGCTTTGAAGTCCAGCTCTGTTCATTCTTGACACTGCTTCTGGCCTTTTTAATCATTCCACCTCACAACAAATTGTCCCATCTCTGAGCTCTATGGTATTCAATACCAATACCATCTGTTATAGATTGACTTGCATCCTCCAGAAAGATATGTTAAAGTCCTAACTCCTGGGACTGTCTAATGTGACTATATTTGGAAACAGGTTTTACAGATGTAATCAAGTTAAGATGAAGTCATTAGAGTAGGCCCTACTTCAATTTGACTGCTGGCTTTGTAAAGAGAGAAGAGACATGAAGAAAGAATGCCATGTGAAGGCAGAGGCTGAAATTAGAGTGGTGCATCCACAAGGCAAGGATTGCTGGCCATTGACAGAAACTAGAAGAGAGGTATGGTACAGATTCTCTCTCAAAAACCTCAGAAAAAAATCAACCCTGCCCACACCTTGATTTTAGACTTCTGACCTCTGGACCTGTGAGAGAATAGGTTTCTGCTGTGTTGTCACTCAATTTGTGGTATTTTTTATAGCAGCCATGGGAAACTAACATGCCATCGACATATAACTCTCCCTTTCCATGCATTTTCTACCACCTATCTCTAACTTTATGCTGATTTTCTCACCTTGCATAAAAATTCCCTTGGGTTATAGACCACGTCTTATTTTTTTCTTTATCTTTATTATTTTATATTTTATTTTATTTTATTTTATTTTATTTTTTGAGGCAGAGACTCGCTCTGTCGCCAGGCTGGAGCGCAGTGGCACGATCTTAGCTCACTGCAACCTCTGCCTTCTGGGTTCAAGTTATTCTCCCATCTCATCCTCCCAAGTAGCTAGGGCTACAGGTGCGCGCGCCACCATGCCTAGCTAATTTTTGTGTTTTTAGTAGAAACGGGGTTTCACCATGTTGGTCAGGGTGGTCTCAATCTCCTGACCTTGTGATCTGCCTGCCTCGGCCTCCCAAAGTGCTGGGATTACAGGCGTGAGCAACTGCGCCACAGAGAGCAGCCCTATGAAAACTACGTTAGAATTGTCAAAATACAAGGCATTCAGTTAACTGGGCATCTGTATTTTTATTTGCTAATCTGGCAGCCCTAATTTATGTACCAGATAGATGATGAATAAAAACTTAAGAAATAAATGGATGAAGCCCTAGTTCATCATTATGAAATTTCCCTTCTTGATATTTACAGTAATTAATCATCCACGATGACACTGAAAACTTTAACCTACCTCCTATTAAACTTTAGTGGCCTGCTCCTGGAATACTGAGTAAGATATTATAAGGGTGCATCAATCATAGATAATACCAAAAAAAGAACCACTATAATGGTCAGAAATATAAAGGCAGATGCCATTGTCAAGACAGAAACTAAAGAGATTGGGACCCTGCCATTTGAAAAGGCTGAACTCAAAGATTTGTGATCAAAATCTAGAATAATATCAGACACATTAGTAAAATAATTCGTGTCCCAAATCTAGAATACTAGGCTGGAAATAGAACTAATATTAATTGATTATGCTTCTATGTGTCAGGCTTTTTACCTACATTAATTTATTTTACCTTACAACAATTAAGTTAGGAGGTAGGCACAAATGTCCCTGCAATTTAGAGATGAAAGAGCTGATGTTTGGAGGGCAGAGCCAGGATTCAAACTCAGGATCCAACACCTATGCTCCTTCCACACTCCTAGACTGCCTCTCTAAGCCTTTGTTTCCTGAGCAGTGCAAATTAAGAACAATTAAAGGAAGAACATATTCACCTAACAGATAATACGTATTTAAAAAGCCACTGATGTAAATAGCAGCCCAGCAGCAAATATTAAGTGATGGAAAATGTATGAGGAAAAACCATTAGTGGAAGAGGATTCACATAGAACTCACCTTTGAAATTGCATCAGATACCACTAGAGCTTCCAGAACACCTAGCTAAATTGACATAGGGTCTACTTCAGGATGCCCTGCTCCATATTCCTGTGGAAATGAAGGACTTCATACAAAATCCAGTTATATTCTCATTTAGCATTCTCAGGTGCTACAGAAGCTGGATTGTGTGCTGAAAAGAGCACAAGGCTTGTAATCAGGATATCTCGGGCTGCCTATTATTCTGTTACCTATTCGTTGTGTGACAGCAGAATAAGTCACAAGCAATCCTGGCTCAGTTTCCTCCTTTGAAAATAATGGGCTGATTTCTAAATTCCTATCCAGCACACATTTAAGGGCCTATTATACGCTGCTTTTATTTTCTAATTATACCAGTGCTTTTTAACTGGTGTACTGTTTCCCCCATGGATTCAACAGAATGTCTCTTCTCTTTATGTCTTTGTACTTCATTCATTTATTCAATTAATTGATCTCCTACTCGATGTCATGCACCATGCAAAGCGCTGGGGATATAAGTGATAAACAAGAAAGACAAGGTCCTTACTTTTATTAAGATTACAGAAGAGAAAAAAAGAATAATTAGAATGGGCAGAAATATAAAGGTAGATGCCATTGTCAAAAGACCAGAAAAGAAAGGAAAAAAGAAAAGGAAGCAGAAAGAGAAAAAAGAAAAAGAA